AGTGGCGCTGTGGCTCAAGTGGTAGAGCGCTAGCCTTGAGCTGAAGAGCTGAGGGACAGTGCCCAGGCCCAGAGTTCAGGCCCATGACCAGACCCCCCCCAAAACAAAACAAAACAAAAAACAGTGAGTGATCGTCAGATCTCAGCCTTCTGAGTAGTTGGGATTACAGGCATGAGCCTGTGGGAGCGAAGGGGTGGGATGATCTGAACTTGGAGAAGGTGGATGGCAGGTAAGGGATGGATGTAGTGGGAGGGGAGAGGAAATAATAAAGAGGAAGGCGCAGGAAGCCAGCCAGCAAGAACAAATCAGGAATGGCAGCACTTGGGCAGAGGGTGTTGGGGGCGTTATTTGAAGTGGAGTTTGGACTCTTTCCGTTCCTGATTCACATGCGTGTCCACATAGTGACAGTCACAGGAACCCTGGACCTGCACTTCCAGGACGGAGATGGATTCTGCTCACCTGCTCACCCACCGAGGCCTCGGCCCTCAACCTTCCTCCTGCCACGCATGGCCGGGGTGTCTCCTAGCAGAGTATGCCGCTGATTCCAAGGGCAAGGTCCAGCAGGAGAGACAGGTGTGTGCCCACACTGCGGTCTAGAGACGAGTCAGGGGCCATGACTTCTGACCCGAGGAATGGCTGGCCGAGGCGGGTGGGGAGAGTGTAGGGCACACAGGAACAAAAGGAGCCTGAGGCTGGCAGTGTGGAGGGGGGAGGAGGGAGGAGGGAGGAGGGAGAGGGGAGGAGGCCGCAGGCAGAAGCCATGGGAAGGGATGAAGCAGGAGACTGTAATTTGCCTGTTTTGTGCTTTCTGATTTCAGTGTATGGAGAGAGCCAGGGAGGAGGGAGGGAAAGAGAGACAGTGGGGGGAGAGGGGAGAGGAGAGATGGAGGAGGAAGACGGCAGAGGGGGGAGGGAAAGTGGGGGGACAGGAAGAGAGTGGGAGGGGGCTAGAGAAGAAGGACATTGGGGGAAGGAGGGGGAGGAAGAGACAGAGAGGAGAAGAAAGAGAAATGAGGGGGAGGGGGAGGGAAGTAGGCTGGGGAGGAGTGGAGGCAGACGAGGGAGGAGGGAGGAGAGTAGGGGAAGGAGGAGAGAGGGCGAGGGAGAGAGAAAAGGGGATTGAGGAAGGTGGGAGAGGGGGGCTGAGGAGAGGGAGAGGGGGGAAGGAGAGAGGGGGAAGGGGAGAGAGGGACAGAGAAAGAAGAGGGGAAAGAGAAGAGAGAGAATAAAGGAATGAGCAGAGGAAGAGGTGGAGAATGGGGTAGAGGATGGGAGGGAGAGATGGAAAAAAGAAGAGCAAGAAAGAGCAGGGAGGAGAGGGGGAAGGAGAAAGGAACTGGGGAGAGAGGAGGGGGGAAGGAGAAAGGACTTAGGAAGAGAGGAAAAGAGTAGGGCGAGAGGTGAGAGTGTAGGGGAGAAAAGGAGAGGAAGAGAAGAAAGGAGTAAGGGGGAACAGGCAGAAAGGAGGGGGGAGGGAGGGGAGGGAGGGGACGGGGACAGAAGAGAAGGAGGAGGTAGCAGTCACCGTGGCGGCGTTACATGTGGGGGGCATGGTTCCACCCCCGCCAGACCCCAGGCCCTCCCGCCATCAGCCCAGAGGACTGGCTTTCGTCTTCCACTCCACAGACAGCTTCGAACTGTGATGGAAAAACATTTTATTAACATGTGTTCAACTTGCTTCCAAATGAAATGATTAATTTTTCATGGAAAATGGCATCCAATGTTTGTCTTTTGCTTTTTTTTTCCTTTGCAAAACCAGCACCAAAAAAGTCACACACACACACACACACACACACACACACACACACACACACACACACACACACACACGAGCGTGAGTACAGTACATGGTGTGAGCTAACCAGCGGGAGGGATACAGGCTCCACTCTGGAGTCGCAGCGCTAGGACCGTCCTGCGTCCTGGAGAAGAGCAGGGGGCGACGTGGAGTCCCCGGAGACCAGGGCACCGCGATGGCACAGCAGCAGCAGCAGTGACAGCGGGGGGGGGGGATGCACGTGGAAACAGCACCCTGTGAGCACCAGAGTGTGGGGTGGGGACGGGGCCAGCGGTGCCCCCCCAAAGGTGGGCGGCCTGCAAGTTTCCAGGAGGTGCCAAGGGAGCAAGTCGGGGGGCACAGCCAGTGCCCAGGTGGCCCCGAGAAGGAGGGTGGGGCCAGCTGCCTGGCTGCGCACCCCCAACGCTCCAAGGGCCCCGCAGTGGGTGAAGCGAGAGGCGGTGAAGTGTCTGGTGTGGGTGTGGGTGTGCGGGGTCTGCAGGCGGCCAGGCCACAGTGGACAGTGTTTTGTGCAGACATGGGGGGCGGGGGGGGTGATAACTAGGTCATCGCACCCTGCAGGGGGCTGCTCCACCATGACTTTGTCCCCCTCCCCACTCCAGCACCTGAGGAGTTTTTCTCCACACTCCTCCTCAGTTCAAGTGGGACCCAATGAACTCCCTGTCATCCCCGCCACTCTTCCTGCCACGGGGTAATCCAAAGCAAAGGAAAGGAAGGCCGAAAGCTGCAACAGAAACAGCACCAATGAATCCAGAAGCACCGAGACGCGATCCCACGACGCTCCGAGCAGAGTGGAGGAGGAGGGGGCTCCTTCAAGTGTCAGTACACAAGCACCCATGAAATGACCGCCTAGCGGGTGAGCACCACAGGCCCCCAGGGGCCGCTCCCCCTCCCCCCTCCCTGCCTCCCCTTCCCCAGCCTCCAGGGGCAGCAGGGGCCCCCACTGTGCTCCCGTTCCCAGAGACAGGAGGGGAAAGAGCAGAAGATCTCTGTCTTTCTGAAGCTCAACCACGATGGCTGGGGTGAGTGGGGCCACCCTGGGCCCTGATGATGCCTTCGGGCTTCGCCCTGCAGATGGCAGGCCCAAGTGCCACCATCAGCCCGAGGCCTAGGTGGCAGAATGAAAGCACCTGGAGATGCAGCAGGTCAGGCAGGCTCCCGGGAAGCCGGGAGGGCGGGCGGGCGGGCTGTGTGAGCACGCCTGTAGGGTAAGGAGGGAGCACCAGCTGGGTCCCCATTCACAGCACCTAGAAGATAGGCTCTCCTTGTTCCTATGTGGTATGCAGCAGAGCCCCCAAACCAGCCCTTCCAGAATATTCTTCCAACATGGGTGATGTGCAGACTCAGGTGGGTGGCACCGGTGTCTTTTCGGTCTATGTGGATGTGAAACGCTCCGGGGACAAAGCTTCCAAGACAAGGTCCGGGAATTCGAGAACAAGTTCTTAGAGATGGGGAGGGAGGTGAAGGCCGGCTCTTGTGTTCTCAGGAAGGGAGATTTAGAGGAATGTCTGTGGGTTGCCATCTCCCCTTCCATCCAGGGTGCCGCTGGGGTTCAGAAGGAAGCCTCTAACATGGCATCTCGTTTTCAGGGGATTTCCCCAGGCTACAAGAGGCCCTGGGGACTTAAATGCCAAAAGCAAGCCAGGACCCAGGCAGTACTTGGTGACTCTCTCTCGATGGAGGTTTAAGAAGCTCAGACACTATGATCATCTCGGGAGGAGAACGCCGTCCAGTGGCTGCGCCCATTCAGTGAAGGACCACATCCAGTCCACTCTCGCCTTGTCCCTCGCTGGATCTTGGGGGGGGCAGAGCTCTGCCTGGGGGGAGGAGGGGGTCCCGGCCGTGGGGCCGGGGTGCTGCCAGGCCTCAGACCCCGAGTGTGAGGGGGAGCGGGGCTGCGCGTCAGGAGCTGGGGGGCGGAGGTGGCGGGCGCATCTTGGTGGCGTAGAAGTCCCTGCAGGTTTGGCAGCAGCGCTGGTACCAGCGCATGTCCTGGCACAGGTTCTTCTCTCGGATGACGCGGCAGTACACCGTCCACTGGTCCCGTGTGCACTTGTACGTCAGCGCAGCTGAGGGGACGGTGGGGGGGACACCGTGGGCATGGCATGACACACAGACCCAGCAGGCACAGGCCACGCCCCGTGCTCCCGCTGGGGCACCATGATGCCACGCTGTGCTTCACGCAGCGGCGCTGCTGAGTGTGTGGCTCCCTTGCTCTACCTCCCTCTTTTTTCTTTGGGGGTGGGGGGGTGGGCAGCGGTAGTGGGGCTTGAACTCAGGGACCCCGTGTGCTTGCTGCTTAGAATGGTTTTTTTGGTCAAGGCGGGTGCTCTACCACTTGAACCATAGCTCCGCTTCTGACTTTTGTTTTTGCTAGTGAATTGAAGTCTTGGATTTTTCTGCCCTGGTTCAAACTGAGATCCTCAGATCTCCGCCTCCCGTGAGCCAGGATGGCAGCTCTGAGCCATGCAGGCTGGGCTGGCTGGCTGGCCATGCACTCTTATTCTAGGGCTGATTTTGTTAATGGCACCATAACGGGTGGCATTTATCAAATGGTGGGCACCGAAGGCCCCACAGCCCCTCCATAGGAGAGCAGGCCCTGCTTTCTCCAAAGAGGTCCCCAAGCCGGCTCATGCCCCCAGAGACAGCTCTCCCCACCCCTCCCCACCCAAAGGGAGCTGCGGCTCTGCTGGCCGCTTCATGAGGGAAAGGGGCATGGCTCCGCCTCCTGGGGACCCCCCCTCTGGAAAAGCAGACACCGTTGCCCAGTTATCAGACCCATGTGCTATGGCGAGGCAGCCCCACCCCCGCCGCATGTGTGTCCACCTGGGGCATCGTCTAGCGCGGGCATCATCGGGGCTCCTGAACCTTGCACTTCTAGAAGGAATACCTTCCACCCTGCCTAGCACAGGAGCCCTGACTCCTGGGGTCAGAAGGGCTACGGATGCCTTTGCCTCAACCTGAGTGAGCCTCCATCTCTGAGCCCGCTGCTCCACAGGACTGGCAAAAACTCCCGTGTCTCCACTCAGAGCTCACCAGTCAGGGGTGGGCACTCACCGAGGCGCGGGGAGGTGATGGTGTTCACGTTGATCTTGTCGTTGCAGGCCTCCTGGTGGCACTGTCTGTAGGCGGCGGGCTTGGAGAGGGCAGGGCACTCACTGCCGTGGCGTCCGGTGACCTTGTGCATGCACTGCACCACGCGGGACTGCAGCCCCTTGCCACAGGTGGAGGAGCACTGCCCGGACAGCGACACTGAGTGGGGGCTGGGGTGCAGGTCTACAGTGCAGCTGCTCCCCCCAACCTGGCTCCTTCCCATGCACTGCTGCCTGCTGCAGGACTGCTGTGGACTGCCCCCCCATGCATATGCCCAGGCTCTAAACCCCCAGTGGGGTGGTATGAGGGAAGGTGTGACTATGGGAAGTAACTAGGGTTAATGACATGCTGAGGTGGAGCCCTCACAATGCGATTAGTATCCTTCAAGAAGACTGACTACATAGACTCTTTTTCTCCCCCAGGTGAAGACGAGGCAACAGCTGTTTGTAAGCCCAGGGAAAGGGTCCTCCCCAGACCGAGGGCTGCCGGCCCCTCCATCTTGGACTCCTGGGGATGGGGGAACAGCCCAGAAATGACCAGAAGGCTAGGTTCAGCATTAAGTTACAGAAAACGACACTGTGTGGCACACACTGGAGTCCTGGACTCGTTCATATTCGAGACTAACAGCAGTCGTTCAGACACCAGCGCTCCGTCTGCTGGCACCTGCAGCACTGGCACACGAGTCACAGCAGAGCAGGTGATGCCAAATTCCCAAGGGGGGAAACAGCCGAGTGAGAACCTGAGACCTGAATGTGAAGCGCCGGTACCTGCGCAGGCCAGCGCCTTCCTGCTAAAATCTCCTATGGTTTTCTGGGATTCATTTCCCCTTTCATGTATCCCACCATACATGAAAGCTACCTATGAAACTACAAAGGAAAACGGAGACTCCCACCAACGGGCCTTTAGTATAAGAGGTGGGCGACCCACCTTCAGGGCTAGGTTTTTGTCTGAGCTGAGAGTTGTGCTGAGCCTGCCCCTCCTTTGGGCCCTGAAGACAAATAAGGTTCTAGACGAATCTGAAAGGCTTGCTTCCACGCCTCACCCTCTGCCATCCAACAACCAGGGCGTACGCTGTGATGCTTCTGTGGCATCTACCGATGCCCCCAACTTTAATTAAACCCCCAGGAGATGGCAGTGTCTCCCAGAGAGCATCAGACTTCGCCCCCTCCCCCTCCCACCCCAAGGCTTTTACAGTCTAAGCAAACAGTTCTAGTGAAAAAACAAAAAACCGATCTGGTCTTGTTTGAAGCCGCCCTCACCGATGGGTACTGTTTCCAGCGGCTTAGTCCATCAACACCCACTGTGGCTTTCCAAGACTCAGTTTACTGAGACAGAAATGGAAGCAGTTATGAACTCACCCGAAAGCTCCTCGCCAGACAGCCTGAAGCAAGCGCAGCCCCCTCCCGCCCCTCCAGGAACAGATGCGGAGCATGATGCACACAGCCTGCATCTTTCTGCCAGGCTCCCAGCAGGGCTGGGGTACTCAACGCTACAATGCTGCCTTCCAGTCATATGTGAGGTCCTGGGTTCCAATCCCAGCACCACAGTGAGGTTCATGGCCACAAAGCAAAGAAAGGGAGATTCAGTTTGGACTTACTCATCTGCTTGTTGTGTAAATTATGGACTGATAAAGGAGTGTGTGTGGGAGCTGGGAAGGTGGCTCAGTGGTAGAGCGCTTGCCTTGCATGCCTGAGGCCCTGGGTTTGATTCCCCAGTACCACATAAGCAAAAAGAAAAAAAGCCGGAATTGGCACTGTGGCTCAAGTGGTAGAGTGCTAGCCTTGAGCTGAAGAGCTGAGGGACAGTGCCTAGGCCCAGAGTTCAGGCCCCACGACCGGACCGCCCCCCCCCAAAAAAAAGGTGTGTGTGTGCACATGCGTGCTCACTCGCCAGTACTGGGGCTTGAATTCGGGGCTTGAAGGTTTGTCCTTTAGCTTTTTTTTCCTCAAGGTTAGCACTCTACCACTTGAGCTACAGCTCCACTTCCTGCTTTTTTGGTGGTTAATTGGAGATAAGAATATCACAAGCTGGGTGCTGGTGGCTCACACTTAGCACACAATCCTAGCTATTCAGGAGGCTAAGATCTGGGGATTGTGGTTCAAAGCCAGCCAGGCAGGAAAGTCTGTGAGACTCATCTCCAATAAACCACCAGAAAAACAGAACTTGAGTGCTGTGGCTCAAGTAGTAGAGAGCTACTCTTGAACTGAAGAGCTGAGGGACAGCGCCCAGGCCCAGAGTTCAAGTCCCATGATCGACCCCCTACTCCACAAAAAAATACATATATATATAGATATATATGTATATCTATATATATCACAAACTTTCTTGCCTGAGCTGTTCAAACTGAGATCTTCAGATCTCAGCCTCCTTAGTAGCTAGGAATATAGGCATAAGCCAGCTGGGGGCGGGAGGGGGGAGGAAGCGATTGTATTACACTAGCTAGAAGTGCTTCCTGCAAAGAGGAGGAGAGGAGGACAAGCTTTCTGTTTTAGGACCCCTTATGACAGGCGGGCGACATCCAAACTCTACTGGATTGGCCATTTACAATGACAGTAACCACAAGGATAGCAACACAGCCCCCCTTCCCCATGTCCACTATGCACTGGACACTGGGTTTCTGTGTGTTGTACTTAGGAACACACCGTGAGGTGCTCAGTATATGCATCTGCAGGGGTGCAGAGGTTCCATCTCTCGGGCTTCCGTGCCGGCCCCGTACCTCCAAGCCAGGCCATCCCAGCAGGGAAGAGCTGGGTCTCCATCACCACCCAGCCCCACCCTGGTAACTCCCCTCCCCTCACCTCCCCATCCCTCAGCAAGTCTGTACATAATGCCCTGTCCCCACACCATGTTTTCAGGATTAGCTAAAGTGGGCTGTAAAAATCTTGGAGGAGAAAAGTGTGGCCCAGGAAGAGCTCTGCTTCGGGCAGCGGGCCCAGGCCAGGGGACACTGCCTCAGGGGACACGGAGGCAAGGAGGGACTCCAACTGGGGCCTGTGGAGTCATTCTCACAGCCGGCCTGCCTTGGGCAGGTTCTGGATAGCAAAGAATGAGCGAGAAAATCCCCAGTCACTGGCTGCTGTTTGTGTCTGAGAGGCATTTGGCTGATGAACTATCAAAAGCTCTTCAAAGGCATTTTGACAGGTTTCTTGGCTCGGGTAGGGAAAACTTGGGAAGCTGTTGAAACCTGAAATAGCAGGTCTCAAAAATAATGAAAATCCCCATGCATCTTGTGCTTACGTTGACATTGAAAGCACAAGTGTGCATGCGCACGCACGTGCGCGCGCATACACACACACACACACACACACACACTCTCCCTCACCTTTCATCCCCTATTTCCTTCCATGCATCTTGGCTTCCTGTATTCCCCCACCTCCCTCTTATGAATTTGCAGCCATCTACCCTTCAGATTCTGGCTGAAACTTTACAGCTAAAGATCCAGGAGGCTAAGTGGCCTCTGATGGCCTACAGCTATTGGGGAGGGGGGCGTGAGGGGACAGGCAGGTGGTCTTAAGTTATCCTCTCTGTTAAGGCTGGCGCTGTTCTTAGGTGCTGAGCCTCCCTGCTACCCATCCCCAGAGTCTCAGGCCTCCAGCAAGCGCTGGACACACTGTCTGCCCCGCGCCACACTGCCATCCCATCCCCTGGGCTGGGGCACACGGTTTTCTGGAGCTTGAACCCTAAACTGCTCTTCTAAGATGTGACTATTTCATAGGCCCAGGTGAGAAATGAGATTCAGACACAAGGGACCTGTGACAGCACCAGAATAGAAAAAGGAGCAGCCGCTAGCATTGCCTGTGTGCCAGACAGTGGGCAGAGGGCCCCGGCGGGGGTCACCTGTGCTCCTCAGCAAGGACACAGCCTCGGGTCAGCTGACAGAAGGAGCACAGACAAGGCTCAAGGAAGCAAGACTGCTGGGACATGAAGCATGTCCCATGTGAGCTGCTGAAGTCATTCGGGGACATCAGTGACATGTCCTGAGGTGTGTGTGTGGGGGGGGATGCACCACAAAGAAGAAACTACCTGTGTGTACGTGCGTGTGTGTGTGTGTGTGTGTGTGTGTGTGTGTGCGTGTGTGTGTGTGTGATCCTCTGCCTCCTGCTGGGGCACCTGTGACCATGAGAATCAACTCATTCTTAGAGTGCGAGTGGGTGGGCTTGGTCAGATCTGATGCTTTTCCATCATGCCAGTGCCCAGACTGCCCACCACAGTGTGGACACGCGAAAGGAGCCAGGTTGTCAGCCCCACCCCAGCCCCATGCGAAGAGCACCTGGGAACCTCTGAGCATCTCTACCACTTCTCTGCCTGCAGCACAGCTTTCTTCTGGAGCAGCCCTGAAGCAAATGGTGTTCCATGGTAGCTGCTGCATGTTGAGCCTTAACCACTTACTCACTGTGGGATGTTTCTGTTTGGGGTTTGGGGAGAACTGGGCAGAACTTGGCCTTGATCCCATTGCTTTAGTCAGATCTTCTGGTTAGAAGAGAAATAGGAAGGTGTTTCCATCTTCCCAAATCCACTATTTCTTGGAAGCTGCCTTCCCACATACGGTGTGTGGCCAGTCTTGGGACCTGATCTCAGGGCCAGGGTACTGTCCCTGAGCTTTTATGCTCAAGGCTAGTACTCTACCACTTGAGCCACAGCTCCACTTCCGGATTTTGGGTAGTTTATGGGCAAAAAGAGTCTCATGAACTTTCCTAACCGGGTTGGTTTCGAACCACAATCCTCAGATCTCAGTTTCCTGAGTAGCTACAGGAATGAGCCTGTGACAGGAGAGCACCCAGCTTAGGGGGCTCTCTTGGCAGATGGCTGGGAGATGGCCTCTTGCCTCATGCTTCAAAGGGCAGACAGACAGGCATGGAGCACCTGAGGTGTGATTTCCTTCACACGCACACCAAGTCTGGTGTGTTCCCAGCTAGCCAGCCAGCCTAGGGGAGGAGGAGGGAGGCTCTTCCCTCAGGGCCTTGGGAAGGGATTGAACTCTCCTGTTTAGACAGAGCCCACCTGAGAGAACAGAGGCCTGTCCCCAGAGCCAAGCCTCTGGCGCCTGCCAGGCCTCGGTGTGTTGGAGATCAGGGCAGTGGGCGGCTCTCACCTTGGACCAGTCCCCCGTCTTCCACTCGTAGCAACCCGAGTAGTCCTCGCACGTCTCCTCGGCTTTTGGTCTGGTGGCCGAGTCACACTTCCCCTGGGAGTTGGTGCACATCACAGTTCGCTTCTGCGTCCCTTGGCCACAGTCAGCAGAGCACTAGCAAGACACCAAGTAGGGGGTTAATCCAGTTCCCATTCAGTTCAAGTAAATCAGCATCTCTGAAGTCCCTACTGTGTGCCGGCTCTGGAGCTAGGAGTCAGAGAGTCTGAGGTCTGGATGATGAGGTCTGGATGGACTGAGGTTCAAAGGCTCACAGATTTATCGGCTGGTATTGGCCTAGAACCTTGATCCTCCAGATCTCAGCCTCTTTAATAGGTAGTAGTATAGGCACGAGCCACTGGTACTGGCCAAGAAGAATTTCTTTTAAATCTTGTTCCATGGGATGTTCTAACAATAACTGAAAATGTCGAGCATAGCTCTTTTGGTAGGATGTATTATTTTTTTCAGTGAGGAAGAGTCTGAGAGGAAAACATTTCAATTGATCTGATTTGAGACACAATTCACCTTTGGATCAATAACAGTTAGGTGGCCAAAGCCCTAAGGCTTCCCTGGGTGGACGAGGGAACGGGGTGAGCCCCTGCCTTTACCCTGCCTTGTATGGAAAGCTCACAACCCTAACTGTACATACACAAAAAAGGTAACAAGATTTTAAGTTCATTCTTCCTTTTCTTAAAATATTATAAAAGGGAGACAAAAGACCTGGATTTTCACAAGGGTACATTTTTGTTGTTTTTGTTCATTTGTTTTTGTGCTGCTGGTCTCGAGGCTTGAACTTAGTGCCTGGACTCAAGACTAGCACTCTACCACTTGAGCCACAGCTTCACTTCCAGTTTTAAAGTGTTTCATTGGAGAGAAGAGTCTCAGGAGGGACTTTTCTGCCTGGCTGCTGGTTTTGAACAGCAGTCCTCAGATCTCATCTCCCTGAGTAGGGAGGATTACAAGCCAAGCAGAATCAACATATATACTGCGATGTCAATGTACGCATCATCCAATACATGTGACCATGTCTTATTTTAAGCAGTGCTGTGATCCCAGATGACACTTAAGGACACTTGAAAGCTGACCTCGGAGCGGGTAGGGGATGTTACCAACACGCTGGCCTCATGGATTCAGTCCTGGGCGGCAAGCCCCAACACCCACCTCTGACCACTCAGATGCCTCCCAGATGGACAGGCAGTCCTGGCCTTCGCAGCTCTGCACGGGTGTTGGCCGGGCACCGGCACAGTAGAGCGGCCGCGTGGTGATGTGGGTGCCATTCGGCAGCTGGTACACGCAGGTCACCTCCCGATGCTGAGTGCCCTTCTCACAGGTCGCCGAGCAGGGGCTCCAGGGGCCTGCCACCCACCTGCCCAGAGGGAGAAAAGACACAGAGAGAATAACATGGGAGAAGCCTGGTTTCCCCCCCCCCCTCCTATACCCTCAGGGAACCTTCCAGAAGGATTGTGGGCCTGTGGTAGGAAAGGAGACAGATCGGGAGTTTTGCAATGGACTCGGCAGACAGCAGAGGGAGGGACCTGAGTGGTCATTTGGTTCAATGCCTCCCTCAGCACAGAGCTTTCTACACACAGCACTTCGGGGTGTGCTGGCCGGTGGATTGTAGGCGGAACCTTTGCATCTGGCTAGGAGGTCTGGCTCTGATGTGGCTTTTCTTGCCATCTGCCAGGAGAACCCAACCTTGTAAGGCACTCCGATGCTGGAGCTATTTGTTACTGCAGATTAGCTGATGAAGACACACAGCTTTTTCCCAGGATACCTGCTATGCCATTCACCACGTGGAGGGTACCTGTGGAGGCTAGCCTGCCCACGCCCCATGCCCACTCCAGGCAACACCCCGAGGGCTGCCTCAGACTTTGCATTCTGCTTGAGAGGCCCTTCCTCTCCCAGCTCCCAGCTGACTAGAGCCAGCCACTGTGTGATGAGGAAAAGCAGCACCCAACTTTAACCTGGGCCATTTACGGTCTGCAGATACAGGGCTGCTTTTATTGGACAGATGTTGGCAGAGAAGGTGGCGGATGCCGAGGTGCAGCGGTGACGTAACACGCTCAGGTGCGATGCTGTCCCTGGGGAGCCCACAGGGCCACTTCACAGCTGTGCGTGATGGTTCCACACCGCCCTTCCCTATTTCCAACTGGAGAATTACGAGTTTTCAGATGCAGGGTGTTCACATATTTGTTTTCTTAGAAGAGGAAATGAAAATCTGAAGCGCCTCATGCTGGTCTGAGAATATGAGCTTTTCTAGAAGCAGGTGCTCCTGCCTCGGGTCTGCAAACCATAGAGACCATCGAAGGGAATGGCTTTTCGCCCCAAATTCAGATGTGAAAAAGTACTTATTCCTAAGCTTGAACACATTCACTTTGCCCTGAGACTGGGTGGTATGCTAGAACTGGAGCCCTTGCTGGACTAGGAAAAAATAAAAGACAAGACTATCTGCAAAAGTAATAATAATAATAATAATGAAAACTACAAAGGCTAGGGATGTGAATCAAGTGGCAGAATACTTGCCAGACAAGTATGGTGAGATCATGAGTTCAAAACCCAGGACAGACAGACAAAAGGAAATGAAGATGGCACCGAGCAGATCTGTTAAAATTGCCATAGAAAGAAGTATTTATCGGTTAATCTTGGTGCTTTTTCTGTGTGTATAAAAAGCCTTTGCGGAAGCCGTGGTCAGGCCGGCTCGAGCTAACTGGCCTTGGAAGCAGGGAGTAGCCAAGATCATAGCCAGCTGAAAATGCGGTTCCCAGGGTGTCATACAGCAGCCGGGCCCAGCCCGCTGTGGCTGTGTGACCAGGTGCTGTTCCAGCTTTCACTTGCAAAAGCTAAGATGAAAACGGAGCTTTCTTCTCATTTTCAAAGGTTGGAAATGATTTCTCAACCCTGAAGATGCCTGTGTGGGCCCAGCCCTGTCTGCTGTGGAATTTGGCCCTGCTGCTTTTGGCCTAGAACTTCATACTTTCATACCTCAGGGCCAGGGCAGAGAGCACCTGGCCCCTGGCCTCAAACAGGGCCAGATGTCTCCCCCTAGCTCTCACCTGTGGAGCACACAGGGCCACTTGCTTGTCACGTGCCCCTCCCACCGCTTCCCTTCCAAGGCCAAGTTCCTGGATTGGCTTAAAAGCTTAGCCTCAGAGCCAGGCGCCAGTGGCTCATACCTAGAATCCTAGCTACTCAGAAGCCTGAGATCTGGAAGATAATAGTTCAAAGCCAGCCGAGGCAAAAAGAAGAAAAAAAGTTTGCTAGATTCCATTTCCAGTTAATCAGCCAAAAGTCAGGCTGGAGGTGTGGCCTAAGTGGTAGAATGCCAGCCAAGCCAGCAGAGCAAGAGCAAAAGCCCCGAGTTCAAACCTTGCAAAGTAAAATGACGTGTTCCCCCACCCTAACAGAGCAATGTGATAGTCCCAAGCAATGTGTCCTAAGCAGCTCAGGAAGAACCAGTCCTTGGATTGCCACTGTGACGTGGCTGTATCAGTTCATCATCTGAATGGTAGGATGACACACAAGTCCCAGCCCCAGCAAGCAGCTTGATATACCCCCAAGGTCCGATTAACACCAGCCAGAGTCCCTGTCCAGCAGTCCTAGAAGCCAAGCCCCACAAAATTCTTCACGCTGAACCCACACGTGGGCCCGGCAGACCTCACATTCCACCACTTCCCACTCTCAGCCACCTGGGTTCAGCTAGGAAAGCACCCAGAGAATGTTCCTGGTGGGGGGGAAGGGGTGTCAGGAGGTGGAGTGGACCCAGTTCTGTGCCCCCACTGTATGAGAGAGGTTTTTACCCTACTGTTCCCCACTTGTACCCACTACACTCTCTCGACTCCCCCAAGTATTCCAGCAACCAGCCCCAGTCTAAATGAACCTCTGGGCTCTAGTTCTAATCCTTGGGTCTCCTGGGCTGCATCTGTGGGGCAGGACTTTGAGATTTCCACTCAGGGTGGAGCCATGTGGACACAGCTGGGAGGGACTCAGGTCCTGAGTCAGAGGATGATGCCAAGGGGCACTGACCTCTACAGTTAACAAAGACGGCCCAGCGTGCGCGCCTGGTGAACATGAGCTGTAGCACAATCCCAGTGCAGGTGACAGCCTGGGCACAGGTGACACTGCCAGCCTCTCCTCTATCCTTCTGTGTGCTTCCCCTGACTTCTCAGGGCTCAGGCTACTTTCCCTTACTCAGTTTTGTCTTTCCTTCATCGGCAAAACTCAGCCTCTCTCCCTGCATTCAGATTTTGGCTCTTTGGTTCATTAAAACAAAAATCCAGACTTTGTATATGAATGTGATGTCCCACACCTGGGGTAACACATTCTAACTGACCTCCACACACAGGGTCTCTGCCCTTCCACAGCATCCACAGAAACAGTTTCCTCCTTCCACAACCGTCAGCAGCTCCCGGCCACCTATGCTTTCATGCCCTGGGCCTGGCATTTAAGATGCAGTATCATGTCTTCTGGAGGCCTTCTCATACATGGGCATGTGCGAGGCTTTACAAATGGACATTTCTCCACAAGAATATCGTACCTCACTATGGCCGGGAGATTTCTATTCGTCAAGAAGGCCAAGTCTTGTTGATTGCAGTCACTGAGCTACTCCTAGGCTGTGTTTCCATTTGTGAAAGCGGTGTTTGGCTCTGCTGCATTTGTGTCTCACCCTGGATGTGCCAACACCTGATCATCAATCCTTAGCCTGTCATTAGCTCTGTCCCTTTGCGGAGTGACTCATATCTTTAGCAGGCACGTCACACAACAGCCCCAAAGCTGCACCCCCATACAGGGTCCAGGCAGCATCTCCATCTTCTCTTTGGTGGTGAACCTCACTGAGATAGTATGCTCGCTCTGGGGACCCCCTAAATCTCAACTCTGGCATGCTGGAGAGAGGCTGTGTATTCACTCTGCTAGCTAATAAAACCACCAGCAGTTTCCTATAAAAAGTTACAGTGGGATAAAGCGACAATAAAACATTCATGTCCTTCATTTTGCTTCATGGAAAACTTCAACCATCCCAACCAAATGGAGCTACAGCAGCTGTAGGACAAATGCTCTCCAGGCAGGCGAGTGAGAGACAGTAATTAGTCTCAATTAAGTTCTCAGCAAATTATGTAAGGGAGACTTTTAGCCTCTTGGCGCTGCACACCTCGCTGGGCCAAAGGCATGGAACCTGGTCCAAAACTATTTAGAAACGCAGAGCTGCTTGAGATAATTCATGTTCTGGAGAAACTTCAGACTCAGCATGAGATGAAACAACAAATCCCATAAACACCTTCATTTGGAAACAATGATTTGTTAATAATTTTCATAGCTAATGACCGGAAAGTGATTCCACGGCTGGCTTTATGAAGTAGAGACCATTAAATTTACCCAGGATGCTTTGGAGATGTCAGCAAGGATGCTGTCCGATGTCTATTTTCACTAAAGCCCAGCTTGACCCCTTTCACTTCCCTCTGTTTCCCAAGTATCAGCTCAGTGGAATTTGTCTGCCTCTTTGGAAACCTTCCTAGCTGATCTTTATCCTGATCTCCAAGGAATTTAGGCTACACTTTTTTTTCCCTGCTTATTTTAGGAATCTCTTCTCTGGGCATGATTTTACTTATTAGTAGTAATGATAATTTATGTACAATGCAGAAAATCTGGAGGGTTCATACAAATATAAAGAAAATACAAGAATTCACAATATCCGAGTCTTTTTCCCCCAATACATATTTTCACATTGCAGTCATACTATAAACAAGTCATTGTCCATTCTGCCTCATTATTGATAGCAAAAGTAATTCCTATGCGATCAAAGAGCTTTTCTAAAGGTTGACTTTGTAAGGCTTGCAAAATAGTCCCTCAGATCCACAGAGCCATGAATTATTTAACCGGCTCATACTGGCTGGGTAAGTTGGATAGGTGCCATTTTTTCACCCTATATTTTGGATGATCTCCAAAGGGTGGAACTGCAAGTCCTACATCCAGGGTGATGAGCGAGGGCTTTCAGATCAGCTGGCATTGCCTGGATCTCCTTACAACTGAGCCACCACATATACCCCGAAGCCTGAGGAAGCCTCATAGGGAAACATGGACTCACTCGCTGCAGGACCACATCTTTGAAATGTGCTGTTCTTTCTGCAATGCCCTGAGCCTCTCCACTGTTCTCCTGAGGCAGCACCTTCCAGGCCACTTGTCCTGCCCCCCCCTCTCTTCTCTCTCCCTCCCTCTCTTTCCCTCCCTCCCTCCCCCCTCCCCTCTTCTCTCTTTTAGACACACCCAGCTGGTCCATGTTGTTTCTTTAGCATGTGGCTTCAACAAACCCATGTCTGGGTGTAACCTGACCAGCTTCAAGTACATAAACAATAGGAACCATGATAATTGGAC